GGCTGGGGAAGGTGCTGGAGTGTGGCGGTGCCACAGGCTGAGCCAGCTACCTCAGCCCAGCAGCACGCAGGGGGTGCGGGCCCTCACGCCAGAGGGGACAGGCAGCAGCAAGGCCCTGGGGTTGTGACCTCGTGTCGTGTTGGAGCATCCGAGGGGGAAAGCACTTGTGAGGGGGTTGCGAACAGGCTTCTCTTCTGCTCACACGTATCCGAACCATGGGTTTCCGTCAGCGCTCCTCACAGCAGGCCGCAGAAGGCACACCGACTCCTTTTCCCCATCCAGCATCTAACGCTGGATTCAAACTAATCAGTTCAGCCAGTTCAAACTGAGCCTGCCCCGTGCCTGGATCAGGTTTGCGCTGATACCACAGTCGCACTTACAAGATGGGAAGTCAACGGCATTTTGTTCACCTGCTCAGGCACAGCAGCACATCACTAAAAACAGGTCTGAGTGCAGAAGCGCGGCACAAGAAGCAGTTGTTATGGTGAGACTGTATCCCTGTCAATATGGGGATCACGGAAGGCAGCTAGACACCTCCCTTACACACCCTCAGCTGCATCCGAGGGCAGGTCTCCGTGGCTGCTGTCCAGGAACAGCCACGCCTGTCTCTCCCACTCACCTGGCCGTTGTTTGTCTCTTCTTACTTGGTACAGGAACCCACCATCTTGGCGCAGCATGAAAGCACCTGATCAGCTGGCATGAGGGAGCAATGTTGAAGCCAATCCCAGACTTCAAAGAACTTTTTACTTTTATCCCTGCCTCAGCCAGAACACAGAGATCTTTTCACCAGCTCTTAGTATTTCAGACCAGAACAAGGGTCTGCCTCAGTTTCAGGTACACCCCACCACATTAAACCCATCTAGCCTGAAGGAGACAGCAATGGCTAGAGATCCTTCCTGCAAGGGAGAAGTACAGTTGTCTGGTCAGAGAAGAGAAACCTAAGAAGAGACCTACATACCGAGAAATTAACTGAAGTAGTTCAGCATGTTTAAACAAGACTTTATTGAAGACGCTTCAGAACATTGAAGAAGTTTATGTACAAAACAACATTCCCACCCCCGTATCAGGATGTTAGTCACTCACTGGGAACAAAGCAAGTGCCTGGTATGTGCTGTCAACCTGGGGACACGCAGAGGTTGCTCAGGAATTTACAGAAGTACCGAATTCACGTAGTTTGGAGCTGGGCAATTTCAACCTTGGCTCAGTTAGGACTAAAAGAAACCAAAGGATCTTTCCCAGAGACACGTCTCCAGCAGACTGAACATACGGGAATCTGACAACCTACACTGGCCTTTCTCAGGTCAGGTCATTTGCTTCCGCAAAGAGAAAGGCCCACTTTGGTTTTGGAAGTGAAGAGGAACCAGCCCCTAGATTTGATGTGCAGTTTTCAATCTATTTTAGATGGTTTCAGGAGATGCCCATCACCAAGAGCACAGTAGTATTTGCAGGAAGCATTAGAACCGAGCAGTAGCAATACCAAGTTAAAGAGTCAGCCACCTCGCTTTCCAAATACACCTAGAGAGAGGCTGGACATCAGACTGGATATTTCAACTAACATATAAGAAAACCCTAGAGACAGAGACATTAGTGACACGAGTTAAATAGCGACTGACGTGCTGTTTCTGTAGTATACTGTGCACTTCTACCACGGTAGAGTTTCCCCTTGCCAGTCCAGGAAGGAACCATTTTCTTTCTCACCAAGACGGTCCAGAACAGAGAGAATACCTGGGATAGCCTCTTGCACCTGCATGGGAGCCTAGAGCAAATCAAGCTTAGATCGTTACTGGGAATGTCCTACAGAAGAGGATCAAATGCATTCAAGGAGTTACTAGAATCAAGGGGGATGTACTTCCGTGTTTCATAGCGTGCCCCTGCAGCACATGGAAGTGTGTGCAGTACAGCGGGTTCTTGCTGAAGGGCTGGGACCACGAGGGAGTCGTACTTCCACATTTTCAGAGATGTCACTTACCATGTTTCCGCCCATGTCTGTCTGAAGCCAGCCTGGATGCAAAGAAATACAGAGAATTCCATCCGATTTCAAGTCTGCAGCAAGACACCTCGTGATCATGTTCAGTGCAGTCTACAAGAGCGGAAACCATCTATCAGCGTGCTAGCTTTCCAAACCTTGAGCAAGACCTTAGGCCAAGCTAACTGGCACCTCCCTTCTACCGTGCTGTCTCCTGACAAATGAAGGGGCAGCAACAGCATCACAATAACTTATCCAGAATTAGTGGGGGCTTCGTTCTCAGAGATACCCGTTAAGCATTGTGAAAGCCCTATCGCCATAGGCTCACTGCCCAAAGATGAAACTAAGTTATGATGAAAGACAAAGTAGCATTTGAAACTCCTAAGGAGCCGTGTGAAAAATAATATTGACATAAGGACTCTGTTTTTCTGCAAGAATCACTACATAAACGTTAAGCTCTTTACTTCTGAACAGGGAAAACAAGCGTATTAACAGCTTATGAGTAGGTGGTGTAGGAGAAACTGTAGATCTGATCTTGACTGTTTGTACAAACTCAGTCTCTGGATGTGACAAAACCAAAAACTCCACCTCTCACTAACTGGCATTACCATGTGGCGGTACAGCGCACCTTTTATTGAGTTTCACCTTGCTTGGGCTGGGGAGGAAGACAGCTAATGGGACACGCGCTTGATGGCATCAGTTCTTCCCTGAATGCCAAGTCCCTCTGAAATGGATCTATATCAGATTAGTGATGGAGCATTTGTGAGCCTCTTCTTAAGAAGTTGGCATGCTTGTGTCTTTGTTTAGCCTGTACCTGGGGCTAAACTGTACCAGTTATTCTATCACCCAGTGACCCCTCCCCCGTTGAGAGGGGGAATCGGGGAAAAGGAGAGCCGAAGGTTGAAGCAAAGACAAATTTAATGAAACAGCAAAATAAATAGACAAAGTTATACTCAGCCTAGAATGTCCAGCCATCACAGACCTCAGGAGGAGAAGGAAGAACCCAAGAAGAACCCCCATAAGAACCCCAGCCAGAATGCTCCCTTCCTCAGCAAACCTCCCCCCTTTATAAGGACCATGACATTATGGGATGGGCTACATCTGTAGCTCGCTCAGGTCAGCTGCCCTGGCTGACTGGAAGCTGCTAACGGGCTGCGATTCCGTCCCAGCCAAACCAGGACAGCTTGCTCCAGATGTATGGTTTTCACAGGCCCTATTTCCATGCCCATGCAGAACAAGGACAAGTTCCTGTGTCGGCCTGTCCAAGGAGGCGCTGCACGACTCACATCATTGTCTTAAGCTCAGAGTGGCCTTTAACTCCCAGGGCTGCCCTGACACAGTCCTCACAGCCTGGGGAAGGCTACAAACCTTTGCTATCCTGTAGGGGTAGACCTTGAGGAACATCTCATTTGCCTGGACGAGTTGCATGGAGGCAGCAAGAGAGGACATATTGATAATAGCAGCTCTGTGGCAGCCCATTCCTGTGCTCAGCTGGGCTGCCTTCCTCAGAAGGGGCAGAAATGCCTGTGAAAACAAGAGTTGGTTTTAATTTGGGAAACGCCTGGGAAAATAAGAGCTGGTTTTAATTTGGTCAGCTTACTCTTGGCCCATTGAAGCCAAGAAGGACTCTCAGGTTCTGCTCTGTGAAGAATTGCAGTACAACTCTATGCCACCAGTATATTATGGTGATGGCTCCCCGACAAGCTGATTGTAGGAGACCTTTCTGTAACAGCCAGCTGTAAGCGGCAAGGACCTTCAGTCTCTTCTGCCCACCTCCCAGCCCAATCTGTCCACTGAAGTGACCTCACACCAGATGGATTTAAATAAAGATCCTTGATGAAAAGGATCTCTCGCTGCTCTCTAGGCACGCAGTTTGGTATCAGACCTGTATCTGTGCAGTTCCAAGGTGACAAGCTTGGCTTACCTGTCCAGCTGACTAGTGGAAAAGCATCTTATAGCACTACAGATTAGGCACATTTCTCCTAATTCTTACCTTGGTGACCATCAGCTGGGCAACAGTATTGGTTTCATAAATGGTGAGCATTGCCTCTGCTGTGACTTCTTCCAAGGAAGCAAGCACGTTGATGCCAGCATTGTTAATGAGGCAGTTCAGACCTTTGTCTCCCACAATTTCTTCCACTTCCTTGACGACTTTCTTGATGCTGTTTTCACAGACCACATCTGCACAGAGGAGCCAAGAACAGCCGCAGTGAACAATGGACTGTGCGCCTCAAATGCTGGCTGTCACTACACAACACGTGCTAAAACGAAGCTAAGGGATTAGTCTGAACAGGGCCATTTAGGCAGCACACGGAGATGACAATGCTCAGGAGACTTTACGTAGATTATGTTTCCCCAATGTTATCTTAAGATGAGGGTGATGGTTTTCAGGTGCTGGCTGTCATGTGCAGCTACTGATCACCCAGTTTCTTAAGCTGTTCTCACCTGATTTAGCTGAACATACTTCTGTAAAAGCCCTTTACTCACCCAGTTGGAGGAGCTTGATATTGCTGTATTGCTTGCTAAGCTGCTGCAGTTCCTAGGAAGAAGAAATTATTTGGGTTATCTTTTATAAATATATATATATCTCCATGGTTATTACATAAAACAGTTTGAGATCTGCACCTCCAGAATTGTAACTGCCACTTATTTTCGGAACTGGACTGATGGCAGTGATACTACTTTGGTTCCAAACCTACTGAGCAGTTTTCCTGAGAGCAAGATCAACTGCCTTAAGAAACTGGACTTTTCACCTGCTTAGTCAACACCCCAGCACGCCAGATTACAGAGTTAGTCCTCAGTGTGTGCGGCTCGAGGGTGTGTTTGCAGTGTAACGAAAGGTCTTCAGTCAAGCAGCTACCGTTGCCAGTTCCACAGCAGACCCAGTGCTCGGGCTGCATCCTGAGCCAGTAATTCCCCACTTCTGTAAGAAAAGCGGAGTTCTCCTGAAGCGAGCTAGTGCCAGACATCAGTTCAGGGCAATAGGAATGCTGAAGAAAGCTATTTGGAATTGCTGTTTGCAGGAGAAGTTTCCTAGCAATTTTCCCATGGACATTCTGTTTCCTAGCACTCTCACTAGCTTTAACTGAAGGTAAAGCACACGTGAAATCAGTTACATGCACAGCAACTGTCCACGAGAACAATTCTTTCTCTGCTAGATAGCTGTAATTCAGTCATCTGCCTACTACCTCTCTGTAGAGGAACGACTAGTGTTTTTGGAGAAAATGAGTACTATGTTGGTGGTGTTGCTGGACAAAGCGTGTCCGAACTGGATTTATAGGCCCAGCTGGAATACTTACATTTCTGTGCCATGTGCAAAGTGGGAAGCGTGGCCAAATGTAACAGATGGATTACATACTCCCAGCCATGTTTAGGAGACTGAGCGACCCTGGCCAAACATTCCAGCTCAAGCAAATCCATTTCTTTAGGAGCCCTTTGGGAATAGGGGTCAGGGGGGTGATTTTGAGAGACGTCTTTGCCACTTGGAGACACTTAGGGACTCCGTGTCCTCTGTCAAGCTATAATGCATTACATCTTTTACCTCAGTTCATACGCTGCAGGATTCTCTCCAGGCTTGTTTAGAAGATTTGTTGTCCCACTGAGGACAATCTACAACTGTAGTTAAGGCTATTAAGGGGAGGGGGAAGAAAGGGGAAAAAGTCAGAAGCCCCAAACCAGAAGACATTCCTTCCCTTGGATAGGGCTTAATGGGACAGTTTTCAAGGCCCAGAACACACTATCTTGTTTATCGGGAGTCAGGCATGAAATAGTTCTGCCATGTCAAGGCCTGCAATAATTCCGTGGCTGTGGACTGTCCACTGGACTTTAGTTTGACAGTATCACTTACTTGATAATAAACCCCAGAAGTGCTCTGGCTTGTCAAGATTTGTTCATTTATTTGTAGTCAGATTGCTTTACTCTCTGACAGAAACAAGCTACTAACTTCTGCTAAAAGGCCGGAGATGTTTTGCACAGTGACAGCAACTGAGAGGCCTCTGAAGTGAATGTTCAATTAAGAACTCCAAACACTGTAGCATTAATCATTCTCCAGGACATAAACAGCATGAAATTACAATCGCTGCATCCAACTCAGGTTTAAAATTCAATGGTTTTTCCATTTAGTTAATTGCTCGGTTAACAAGTGACTCCCACTTGAGTGGTTTAAGTTTCTCTGAAGCAGCTTCCAGGCATAAAGCGAACTTAGGCAGCTCTGGTCTTCAAGAATGTTACTCTGCCTGATAAAAACGTCAGCTGAAAAATCCAGTTAGGAAACCTAAAAATTGCAGAAAAGCCTATTTTTTCTGTACTGTGACCAGAAGAGAGGAGATGGAGGCACGTTCATGGCAGCGCAATCAGATACAGGCGTTTCAAGCCACCAGCCATGTGTGCAGCTTCTCCTCTTTGCCCTCCCCCCCACACCCCCCCAAGCAGTTTTGATCAAAGAGATCGAAAGCCTCCCGTGTCCAGAGAACTCTGAAAATGCTACTGCAACACATGATAGACTGGTTATTGACTCCCCACCAAAGGGATAAGCTTCCACAGTGAGGAAACTCACTGTGGTCAGCTGTCAAATGCGTTGTTCTCCCCCCATTAAAACCAAAACACCCCCCCAAAAAAAGAAAACAAATGAGAACAACCCCAAAACAACAAAAAAACCAAACCTACAGCACCAAAGTTGTCTGCAAGGCTTTATTGCAGCAGACTCACGCTCACTTTTCTCATGCCAACATGCCGGCGCAGAGGCCCTGCGCCCCGGATGAAGAGGTGAAATCCCTGGGAAGATGAGCTCTCGGGGCAGAGTCCAGCAGAGCCAGGGCGGCCCATAACGGCCCATAACCAGCGCGCTGGTGCTGCGGTTTGAAGCACGGCCTGTATTTGAACGTCCGTTCGCGCCGTTCCATTTGCAGACAGTAGGTACAGCCAACGTATCCCAGGCTAAGTGATTTTTAGTTAGTGCATAGCCAATTTAAAAACAAACAAACCCAACAAAGCCCCACAACCCCCTAATGCTGTGTTTCGCATAGTAGCTCTAGAATTGCTCCGCACCTGAATAGTTACCCCTGAGAATCAGCTCTTAGGGATTCCAAGAAAAATTTTAACTCTGATTAGCATCTGTTGTTTCCTGTTTGCTGATTTTAATTATGATTAACAAAGAGTCAGCCTACTAAACAAGATCCTCTGGCACTCGAGGCTCCAGATACAGATTCATCAGTACACAGGATATTTATTGCTAGATTTCAACCGGGAATGTTATGTTGTCTTTGTCATTTAGCAAGATTTACTTTGCCTTCTTTATGAAAGCATTATTCACTTCAGTTACAGCTCTGGGAAAGGACCTGTCCATACCAGGCCAGCTGGAAGCAGTCAAGCCAAACTAACACAGCCTGTAGGCCGCTTTGTCAGGCAAAGGGTATCAATTCATATCGTCCTGCTTACACTCAGGACAAAGTCAAAGACAGATCGTATTTGCCCCTGTCTCTCTCTGAGCCAGGCTATTCAGTATCACAGTGTACAGCCAACTGGCTGTTCGATTGTGTAATAGCTGACACCAAGCTGCTGCAGGCCACCCAAAATCCACGGTCCTCTCTGACCGAAGAAGAGCCGGACCTTAATGCTGTAGGAAGTGCAAAACACTTCAGAAAAAAAAAACCCAAACGCTGCAATAACCCAAATTAGAAAGACTTCAAGGATGCCCCCTTTGCCTCGTACCACGCACCTATCTTGCTAGAGCACTGCTCCAGAGATTGCTCAGCTGCTCTTCCCAACAGCAGACCACACGGCTGAGGTATGTAGCAAAGAAAAAACAAAACCAAAACCTGACGGGGTGCAGAAGCGCTGTAGAGAGAGCCCTGTGTCTGACAGGGGAACAGACACAGCGCTGTTAGTAACACTATCTCCTACTTCAGAGGAAGGGAAACGGCACATTAAGCCCTGGAAGCTTTCCAGAGCCCAGCAGAGGACTCTTGAGCAGCGAGGAACTGAGCACTTTCTTGTTCACCTGGGAACACACTTGGGCTTGTGGGGAGAGCAGGAGGAACAAGAGATGCTCCTGTCCCGAGGTCCCACGTTCAGCTCTCAGCACCGCCCAGCAGAGCCGAGCTGAGTGAAGCACTGTGAACAGATTGACACCGTGGCCACTTGGATCCCTTTGGCCACCTCGCTTCCCCCCAAAGCCATCTCTTCCTTCCATACCTCAGCAAGTCAGAGGGGGCACCGCAGGTCCTACACCATCACTAGGTGTAGTCTTAGACTTTCGGTTAGAGTTTTTTCCCCTTTAATGAGGAAGCACGATGGGGGAAGAAAGAAAAGCAGGACTGGGGGAAGAGTTCCAGATGGGTCCACGAGCCCATACAGGCTGCCTAACGATAACTGCACTGTGGTTCTGTCCATCTGGAGCACAAAGGCAGGACGTTAGGATTATTTTGCCAGAGATTTGTAGCTGCTTCCACTGTCAGTGCCGGAGCAGCCCAAGTAAAGGCAGATCAGAATCGAAGTGCAGCTGAAGGAGTCTAGTTTGGTACTTTTCAAGGAGAGGCAGCGGTTATCTAGATGTGCCTGCAGGCCTGCTGCACGTTATCGTGTGATCTAAAGCCCATTTGTTAGGCAAATGTTCTGTGGAGGCCACCTAGGAGCTATTCAGCACAAGAACTCGAGTTTATTACAACTTCTGCCAGCACAGACTCACATGCAAAAGCTTGCAGCTGTTCAGCATTATCCCAGGGTTCGCAAGTTACGGGAGACGTGCTGCTTTCTGGCGTAAGCAGGGGAAAGCAGTCAGACTTCTCCAGCATCTCTTTCTAAAGTCAGGTCCTTAGGGGCTCTTGTCTGCCCACTGTTTGGAGGGCTCCAAGGTATGCAGTCATCTCTGTAACAGCACACACTGCCGAGAGATTCTCTGGATAACCCTCAGCTACCAGGGAATTGCTGCTGACTATGGTCCCCAAGACGGGCACTGGATTTGCCAGGAGTTAAGCCCATCTAATCACTTCTCCTCTAAAAACTGGAAGATGATTTTTAAAAGGCTTTTCATTTAAGCTCTTCCCATCCTTTTTCCCTTCCCTGCACTCTGCAACAGGAAAATGCTACTCTGCCAAACCAGGTGAGAGCAGAAATTAAGAGAAGTGTCCAAAGTTGCCGTTCTCCCAGTTCACCCTCTAACCCGGGTGAGGAAGTGGGGGGCAGCGCACTCACAGTAAGATTTTTCACATCGTCACTTCCCACAAAGCAAAGTGGGAGGAAGCAGAATTAGACCGCTTGGGTCACTGTCAAGAGAAAAAGCACGGACAGCTGAGGTGTGCAGGGAAAGAACAAGTCACTCAACTTCACAGCCCAGTCTGGATGGTCAACCAACAGGTCTTAGCTGGGCAAAGCCCATCTCGTGTGCGCTAAGACGGGTCTGCAGTGCCAGCCTCTGGAGCGCAGGAACCTGAATGCTTGGGGTTTTCAAGATTTGACTGGAAAGTCAGTGAAGACAAAGTTATCTCTAGGAAAGGAGAAAAAAAAAAAGGAAAGAAAAATCACTGAACCTTTGCCTTTTCT